ATGGGAAGGAAGGGCAAAGGGTCGTCGTCCAAACCCAGCACACAGAGGTTAGTGAAGAGGATCCCAAACACAGCCACAGGCACCAATCGGCCACTTTCTTCTGCCAAGAAATCCAAAGGGCTGCAGCCAAATGGATGAGATACAGGAGGTCGGGGTTGGGGTGAAGGAGATGAGAGCAGAGATGAGAAGAGATATTAAGTTAGGCACAGGATAGCAGTCCCTCCCATGCACACTGCTCACATCCCAATCCTGTCATCTCGTCAGATTTCCACAACATCTCTCTGAGATGGGGCCATTTCTATTTTACAGACAAAGCACCTGAGTCTCAGAAAGGTTAAGTGACCTGCCCTGGAACCCACAGCTAACCCCTAGTTGCTCTAGAAAAGATGGCCCCTCCCCCATCAGGATTTCTAAACCTTGTAGAGAATTGCAGAAATTTCAAATGAATGTACCCAGTGTCTATAGGACCAAGGATTCTCAGGCAAATCTTCAACAGTCACAGCATATCTGTGAAATCCTTAAGTACCTTCAAATTCCCCTCACTTTTGATAGATGCCTACTGGCAATGAACTTGGACCAATGCTCTGAATACTCAATCATATTCATCAAACACTTTCTGGTCCAACATCCCTGAAGACAGGCATGCAGTTTTATCATTCTCATTATTTATTATTCTCATTTTAGAGATTAGAAAATTGAAGTTTATCTAAGGTCATACAAAAAACACATAGCAGAATTGGGATTTAATCCTGAACTCTTAGATTTTAAATCCAGGCCCCCTTCTACCATAGACAGCATTGCCTCTGGTCTTAGGTCCTGCAGGTTCAGGTTCTTGGATGCCTCTCCCCATCCCAGATCCTTCTCCTTACCTGGGAAGTCCAAAGATCCCATTCCAGCATCCCAGGCAGAGCTTCCGGCGTTTCACTAGCAGGGACAGCAGCAAGATGGTGGCCAGCTACAAGGGAGAGAGGCAAACCCAGGGAGAGAGGGTGATTGTGAGCATTCAGCAAAGAACCCCAGCATCTCAGAACTGGAAGAGAGCACATTTAGGCCCACTTGTACCTGGACAGGAATCATCTGTGCAGTGTTCTGAGAAGGAGTCATCCATCTGGGGAGGGGGCTCTTAGAATTGGTGTAATACCACTTGGGACAGAGTGAGTGAATGAATGAATGAAAAATCATTTAGTGCTTACTAAGTGTTAAGCACTGGAAATACAATTAGAAAGGCAAGACAATCTCTGCTCTCAGGAAGCTTACATTTTAATAAGAGGAGTTAGAGGAAGCGAAGAAGGGCATCCCTACACAAAGCCCAAACCGGCCAGGATTGTCCCAGGAAACTGGGCCCTGAAGCCAAGTGGTCAAGGACTCCTCTCCCTACTGTTGCCTTTTCCCTCTTACCCCAGAAAGGGGTGTTTAGTCAGTTTCCCCAGGACACTCCCCCTTCCCCTAGTTCATCCCCCATTGATTCCTGCTGGTGTTCTTCCTCAGAACAACTCTCTTTTATCTATGCCTGAATTGGGGCCCATCTAACACAGAGATCTAAACATACATCACTCCCCTGGGGCTCAAGAATCTTTGATGGCCCCCTACTGCCTAAATGTTAAAGCACTATTTAAATGTTGTTTGATGAAGATGAGGCAGGTGGAGGGGAGAGCTGCAGACTCCTTAACCTGGGATCTAAAGCCTTCCAAATTTTGGCTCCATCCTTATTTCATTGTACACAATCAAACAAGTCTTTATTAAGCTGTATGTGAGGCACAGACCTAGGTAGCAGGAAGATAAAATTTCAATATGACAGTCTTTGCCCTAAAGGAATTTGTGATCTCATAGGAGGTCTATGATTTACACAAATAAGTGAGTGTGATAGGAGGTATACTAAGATCAGCACAAAAGGAACGTCTGGTGAAAGCGCTCTAGCAAAGTTTGAAAGTCAGTACTGTCAGCTCGGGGAAAGCATCACGGGGCAGAACCTAAAGAGAAAGGGATTCCAAGAGACGGAGAGGAAGAGGGGAGGCAGGGGTGGAAACCAGAGGCAGAAGAGGACAGAAGGGGATCAGACACAGCCAAGTAACAGGGCAAAGGGAGTAGCATAAAATACATTAAAAGGATTCAAGGCAAAGAAAACCCCGTGCAGGTTTGAAGGTGGGGAGGAGCATGGTCAGACTGGGCATAAGGAAAGCTATTTTGGCAATAGTGGAAAGGGTGGGTTATCTCGGGGAAACACTAGCAGTTCTGGGGGCCATTGTGAGAGCCTAGGCAAGAGGTGAGAGGACTCTGAACAAGGGTGGTGATAGTGAATGATCAGGGAGGGGACGGAAAGGAGAGATATTAGAGAGGCTGAATATGTAAGGAAGTGGTAACTGATTAGTCTGCAGGAGGTGAGAGGGAGGTAAGAGTCCATGAAGACTCCAAGTTTTGAGCCTGTTTGACTGACCGAGAGGATGGAGTGATGACAGTAGGAATAGGAACGTTGGGAAAGAGGGCTTAAGGAGGGAGGATGAGTTCAGTTTTTGGACAGGGGGAGTGTAGAGGGATGTCCAGGTGCAGAGGTGGAGCAGGTATCTGGAGGCACAGGATGGAGCTCGAGGGAAGCTTAGAAATGTGCTGGGAATAGAGATTGGGGGGGTCAAATGTGCAGAGGTGATACCTGGAGCCGAGTGAATGAATGGTTGGAAAGAGAAAGGGAAGGGGAAGAGAAGGGAAGAGGAGGAGACAGGAGAGGAGAGGAGTCAGGGTTAGCTGAGCTCAAACCTGTCCTCCAACACTTGCTAGCTATGTGACCCTGGACAAGTCACTTAACCTCTGTTTGCCTCAGTATCCTCATCTGTAAAATGGGGGTATCATAATAGCACTTACCTCACAAGGTTGTTGGGAGGATCAAACGAGATGAATTTGTAAATTGCTCATCTCAGTGTCCGGCACATAATAGGCATTTAATAAGTGCTCATTTCCTTCCTCCCTTGTTTTACATCCTGGCTCCAACCATCTTTCCATGCTGATTGGGAATTACTCCTCACCTGGGACTTTTCAGTCCAGCCTCCTCACTCTTCCTCACACGTGGCATTCTATCTCTATCTCTGAGCTGAATGCCCTTCCTCCTCACCCTGACCTCTCAGATCCATTTTCCTTCAGCTCAAGTTCTACCTGAGACCTTTTCTGTCCCCCACCCCCAGCTGCTGAAGCCTTTTGTATACATGGTATTTTATATATACCTCTACATACTTATATGTCTGCATGGATGGATGGATGGATGGATATTGTCTCCCTAATAGTTTATAAGCTTGAGGACAAAGACAGTTTCATTTTTGTATGTATCCCTAGGGCCATGGTAGGTACATAGTAGGTGGCTTAATAAATAAGTGCCTGTTGAGTGGGTGAGTGAAGGTACTTGGCATCCCCATCCTGGCGGGGCTTCAGCACCACCTGTCCTAGGGCAGGCATTGGAGCAGACCCTCCTTCATGGGAAGGCAGGAGAGCCCCAGGTCCGGATGTACTCACCGACAGCGGGGCCAAGCATGTATGGTAAAGGCTGGGTGGGAAGCTGTGTTGGCAGGCCGGAATAGTTCTGGAGACACAGGGAGAAAGAGAGAGGCACAAAGACATGAACAGAGCTCACCCCGCCCCAAGGACAAGAGACAAGCCAAGTGTCAGTGGGCCATAGTGTGCCATCCCCACATTTGAGTTCCCTTATCGAGAACGCTTCTCTTTGGCATTCCCGGCCTTCTGCCACCTGCCCAACATTCTCTCTCATGGCTCCCTGACATGCTCCAGCCTCGTGGGGTACTTCACTCTCCCCAGTGGGTACAGATTGTTAAGTTTAGAATCACAGGGTCTGGGTTCAAATCCTGCACCTGACACCATGGGCAAGTCACCTTACCTCTCTGAGGCCTCAGTTGGCATAGATGTTAAACGAAGGAACTAGACTCAATGACCTCAATGGTCCTTTCCATCAGTCTGTTTTCTGTGATGCTATGAACATGCTTATTCTAGGCTCTATACCTTAACTCATGGTGCTCCCCTAACCCTAGAATGACCTCCCTTCTCAATCCTCTTCCTTCTTCAAGGCTCCTTTCTAGGGCCACCTCCTCCAAGAAGTCTTCCCTGACTGCTGGAGCCCACATCCTTCTTGGAACTCCTGCACCTCTCAAAGTGTGGCCAGCTGGTCTTACTTGGCATTCCACACCATTGTGTCTTGCTCTTTGTTTCATGTGTGAGCCAGGGGATGACTAGACGGATACACTACTTTATAAGGAACCAGCAGACATGAGACCAAGTCAATTCACTGGTCATTTATTAAATTTCTGCCATGTGCCAGGCACTACAGAGCTTACATTCTCCTGGCTTCAAGTCCTACTTCTAACACTTAGAATCTGTGTGACTTTAGGTAAGTCACTTCCCCTCTCTTTGCCTCAGTTTCCTCATCTGTAAAATAACTTTGACAGTGGTTAGATGAGATATCCTCTTAAGATGACTTCCAGTTCTAGTGTTCTCCACATCTATGCCTCATCAACTAGCCTGTGAGAACACTATAGTGAGAGACTATCTCCTCCTTCTCCTCTTCCTGCTTTTCCTCCCCCTCCACCCCCATTTCTCCTACAACAGCCGCCAGGGCTCTGTGGATACAGAAGCTACTCAGTAGACCTGGCAGGTAATTGATACAGCTCAATAGTCCTAGCTGGGGAAAATGACTGAGGAGAACACGGGGGGCTTTGGATGGGTTCCTAAGTCTATATGCGACTCTTTCTATAAGGGTGAAGGATTGGGGACTTGAGGGACTCACAAGGAACACAGCTTGAAGATTAGGGAAAGAGCAGAGAAGGTCCTGAGCTGGGTGGACATACAGGGAAAGAAGGCTGCTGGACAAAAGGTTCCAGGCCTGAAAGAGATCTATCTCCCCACCACCTCCATCTTGCCAATACACTCTCAGTTCTTCATTCCCTGCCCTCATCTGTCCTGGCTCCCACAGCAATCCAACAGGACATTCGAGTGCATTCCCATGGCTTGCCTTCTTCACATTGTCCTTGGGAAATTACAACCACGAGTGCACGGGAGCTCCAATAGGCTCTTCCTACAAGATGGAGAACACTGTGACCCCATGACCAGGAACATCTCAGCCTCATTGCCTGAGGCTAAAATCACCTCTTCCTCTCTCTCCCACAGTGAAATACTTAAGAGAGTGAGAGCCGGCAAAGAACGTACCAAGTCATCTGGTCCCCTCCTTTTGGCAAGGAGTCTGGTAGGGGATGGAAGGAGTTAGGAACAGAGCTTTCTTTGCAACTGGAACTGTGATTCCTGTGGTCCTATGAAAAGCCCCTATCAAAATCCACCCCTGACCCTACCTTTATGCTTAAAAACCATGTGTGGATAGATTCTTTCCCCAGCATCCCCACTGGCAAATGGATTCGAGGACTTATGGGATTCCTTCCAGCTCTAACATTCAAAGAGTCTAGGCTTCCAGGGTTCCTAAGGGGTTCTCTGGCTGAGCCCAGGAACTGAGTAATGGTGAATGATGCCCAAATAACTCCTGAGAGCAGGTTTGATAGGAAGAGGACCATACAGACAAGAGGAGGAGGCAGAAAGTAAGGAATGCTGGGAAAATGAATGACAAACTCCAGCACTTGCAAAAAAAAATTATGATTATTTTTATATGGTTCCCACAGTGGAACTTCTCCTACCTCCTCTCCCACAAAGACAGGGACTTCACACTTGAACCTTCTTCGAGTGGTGTCCTTGAACCATAGGGTTCAGAACCAAAAAGGACTTGAGATACCAAGTCCAATTCTTTCATTTTACACATGAGGAAACTGAGACTCAGACAAGAAGCGATTCACCCAGTGGCAGAGCTGGGACAGAAATCCAGGTTTTCTGACTCCAAATCCAGTAATTTTCTGCTATGTTGGAATGTGTAGGTGACATCTCTCCATGGTAGAGGGACCCACTCAATCCCATATCCTCCTCCATTTCATACATTTTATGATCAAATGAGAGATTTATGAAGCACTCAGTGCAATGCCTGGCAAACAGTAGGTGCTTAATAAATATGTGTTCCCTCCCTTCCCCATTGTCTATCATGATATGGGCTATGTTGACATATACACACACCAATCAGATGATCTCTCTTTGTCCTTTGTCCCTACCCTTTGGGCAGGTGTCCACTCTCTGGACCTTGAGATATTCCTGACATTCCAGATGTACCCCTAATTCACTCTAATCTCTGTACCCCATGGGGACCTTTGGAAATACTGGAAGGGAGAGGAAGAGAGTGGAAATTCTTATTTCATAGGCATTTCTCAAGGATGCCTGATGCAATGGGAGGAGCCCTGGGTTAAGAGTCAGGAAGTCTACCCTCCACAGCTAGGTACATTGTTCTAACTCACTCTCTGGGCTTTACTATGGGCAAGACACTTCCTGTCTCTGAGTCTCAGTTTTCTCATGTGTGGAATGGGATAATAATAATCCCTGCCCTACTCCCCCTATAAAGATACTGTAAAGACCAAATGATAGATGGGAAAGTGCTTTGGAAAGCATAAAGTCATGTGCAAATGTAAGTTTTCATTTATTTTTTCTCGTGTTGAGATTCAGAGTAAATCCACCCAGAAGATGACATTTCTTCACTATTTCATCACTTTCCACTGAATTAGCCAGCCTTTGAGACCCCTACAGTCAGTACTTTTCTAATTCCTTCCCATCATGCCCAGCACTTTTGACTTCTGCTCCCCAGGGAAAGATGGAGATATTTGGCAGAGAAGACTCTCTAGGGCTCCAGCCTACCTAAAACAAAGGGAAGCAGTGATCACGTCTGAGCTCATATGGGCTAACCAAGAACCAGTTCTGCTGCATGAACTTTGTAGCCGCCAGGGTACTAGTCTGATTTATCAGTGCAATTCCATAGACATGGTGGACTTGGATGGGATAAAGGCATTCAACACAGTCCCGCATGATATCCTTGTGGATCAGATGGGAGAGATATGGGAAGATGAAGAGATATGAGAGATGAGAGAGATTGTGTTTTTGGCTTTTTGGAGGCAATCAGGGTTAAATAACTTGCCCAGGGTACGCAGCTAGTAACTGTCTGAGGTCAGATTCGAACTCAGGTCCTCCTGACTCCAGAGTCGGTGCTCCATGCACTGCACCACCTACTGCCAGACAGATTATGTAAGTAGGCACATTTCAAACCTATTGACTGGACAGACCCGAAGAATGATGGAGAATATCGACCTAGAAGGAGATCTATAGGTGGGCATCACAGGAATGTCCTTGGCTCTGTTCAATGCAATTTTTCTTCATTGACTTGAATGAAAGCATAAACAGTTTGCTTCTCAGATTTGTGGATGGCATAAAACCAGGAGGGGCAGCTGGATGACAGAATTGTGACCCTCAAACATCTCAACAAGGTTAAAATGATGTTCTGAATCTAATAGGAGAAAATTTAATAGGGATAAGTTTAAGTTGTATAATTGGGTTGAAGAAACTCAATTGTACACATATAAAAGGGGAGAGATCTGGGTAGACAATTGCAGTTCATGAAAAAAAGAAAAGCTTGTGGGTTTTTACCAGACTGTAAACACAATACGAAGTAAGAGTAGGGTGTGGTAGCCAAAAGGGAATTCAGTCTTAGGATGTGCTGAGAGGATTTTAATGTCCAGAATGAAGATCTTCCCTGCTCTGTGCCCTGGTCAGATCACATCTGGAGTCCTGTGCTCATGACTTGACATCATATCATGTGAACAGTGGTTGAAAGAATGGGACATAAAATATGTGATGGGTGCAATGGGGAAGTGGGCTTAGATTTCTTTTGAAGAGCTCTGGAGAAGAGAACTGGATACAATGAAATGAAGATGCCCGGTCTGAGCTGTCCAAAGCAGAGATGGGCTGCCTCAGGAGACAATGAAGTTCTCATGACTGGAAGTCCTCAAGCAAAGGACGGTGCAGATGGCACAATGAGCAGAAGCTAAGATTTGGAGTCAGAGGACCTCTAGTTGAACCTTAGCTCTGGGACTTAATACTTTGGTGACACTGAACCATTCTGTCTCTCAAACAATCAATCAATAAGCATTTGTTGGTTGCTTATTATGTGCCAAGCACTGTGCTAGGTGTCCTCAATTCAGTGGGTTCTGTTCTTTAGATATGTTTTATCCGACTAAGCTATGAGCCACCATCAGTAAAGAACAGGACCTTGAAAATCGGGGGAACAACGATGGTGGGTGACAGGTAATGTCTAGAGCACAGGACATAACAGATCCATGATGAGGGTGGGTAAGAAGTCTGGAAAGTCAAGGGAGCAGTAGGAAGATGCTAGACACTGAGCCCTGGTCACCCGAGATGCTGAGTTCTGGACTCACTTTAAGGTCTGTATACGAAGAAAGCATCATGACACAGAAGAAAGAGCCCTAGGTTCAGAGAGCAATAACCACTAACATATACAGCACTTTAAGGTTTGCAGGTACCTACATCTATCATCTCTGTGATTTGGATCCAGAAGACTTGAGTTTGTGGAATCATCTGAACCCCTCTGAGGGCAGTCTGTTCCATTCCTCCCAGGCCCTACCATTTCAGATCAGCCCC